AGCCGCCAGATGATGATTCTTTTGGGGCAATAACTGGTTCACCTTCATTTGATTTCCTTTGTGATGATAATTCCTCTTTTCTTTCCATTTAGCTTGATTCTAAATTAAGTGTTTCTTCTGTGAACACTTAACAATATAGGCTGACTGACTTAGATAACTATGTACAGAACTATTTTAAACTTAGGGAATTATATGCCATTGTTCACAGTAAATTGAACTATAAAAGTTTAAATGTGCTTTAAGAATAAAAAAAGTTATATTGAATTTTGAACATGCTTTTCATTTTGTGATTGAAGTCACCTAACTTTTATAAAATAGTTGTATGTTTCTGTTGTTCTCCTTATGCAGGCATCGATCTAACAATTTCCAACTTTTTTCATATTTAGTGTTACAAACCTGAAGTACTGGGGAAGATGTGAGCCTGTAATTACAAGGACTCTTCAGTTCCTAAATGACCTTTCAGTTGGATATCCTTTTCACTGTATATGTGATACACTAATCCTACACGTACATTTACCTGGCCAAATATTTCCCCTGCTTTTAATTTTCCAAAATTTTACAATAAAAAAATTTAATATGTTTAGCTTTATCTATAAATGTGTATTTATAATAACTGTACTATGAAGCATTTTTAATCATAACAGACCTTATATAAACATACATACAGATATGTATGTATGTATGTATGTATTCCTAACTAGCTAGTTTTGCTTATATTATTCTAGGATAATAAATGCTTACATAATAAAGTATGTGCACTCATGTATTTCAGCCCATAGTTGTTCATAATCTTCAGAAACTTTTTCTAAAAGAAAGCGTATAACTAGCTTGAAGAAGGTAAATGTTCCTGGGTCCCTCATTAAGAGCCTCTTGCACATCAGTCATATGGCTTGCACAAGTTAAGACACATAAAAGAATAATAGAACGAGAGTTACTGGCTTTTTAATCACTTCTAGTATTGTTGGCTTCCTTGTCAGATCACTGTCACACCTACTCATATTAAGATTTTCTGTTACACGTTGAATGTTTACATTTTTGTCCTTAGAAATCCGTAAAAATTTGAAGCCAGGAATCATCATTATTGGATATTTATAATATTTTAGCAGTGAGAACTTGATTGTAGATTGCAGATTATGTTGTTAGCTGTAAGGTACATAGATGTTGTGAAAAATAAATAAACATTGGTTTAGTTAACCTGTAAGATTAGCTGATATTTTAATATAAGTACAAATTCTGAAAATGCTTGGCTTTGGATGGAAACCTTTAATGTAGTTTCATTCCAAGAATATGCTTGTATTAGTTAAGTTTAAGATTGTGTTCCTCCATAAACCATAAAAGATTTCTAAAGTATTAGACACCCACTTTTGTGCTGGAATTTAATATGCAACTTTTTATTGGAAAATAATCGTCCTTGTCTGGCAAAATCCACCATGCAATATTTCTGTTAGTAGGTATAATGCAATAAAGACAGGGAGGGCTATTTATCACTACAAATTTTGAGGATTTCAGGATTCTTTTTATTATTTTAATATATTTCTTTGATATTAAATCAGAAAAATGATAAATTACACCTGTCCAGGCTGTTTTTCCTCTTTACTGAAAAGTGATGTACAACCCAATTCCAGTGGTCATTTTGGCTTTTTAAGATATGTATTTTTTCTTATTAAAAAAACTCCACCTGTATTTTTTTCTAATAATGGTGCTGAAATACTCTTTATTTCTAACATATGAAGTGTTTGATAAGTACTTCATAGTATTGCAACCTCTCCAGCTTTTCACAGTGAATTACTGAGAAAGCGTGTTATCTGGAAGAAGGCCTGTGATGGTAGAACACAGACCTATTGTTTAGATTCACTCTGGTTTTAGTTTGAAATTGATATTTAATATAAAATTAATTTGATTTGTATTTTAGTATAATTTGCATAATGTCTAATTTATTGGTGTCTATTAAGATAGTTTTTCTGTTATCTATTCTAAGCACAACTTTTATAACCTTATATCTTATAAGCCATTTATTCCTTTTGAGTACCTCTTAAAATTAATTTTTAAAAGTCTTATTTTCAAAAAATGTATTTGATAAAGGTTAAAGGTTGTAACAGATATGAATTATTTCTATGCAGGTACATTGATTTGTATTTTTTAACAATTATTTCAAGTTTGCATATTTAGAAATATATATTAGCTCAATTTGATTTCGTTGCTCAGTTATTTGAATTATAAATCATTATGTCCCTTCTAGCTGATCAGTCATGAAATATCTTTGAATTCATTTACATAATGGAATATGTGCTTGGTGTATCCATTTCAATGCGGTCTCTGGTTACCTAATGTGTGTTTTGTTGTTCTCTCCAATTTCATTATTATATGTGTTTTTTAATCATGATCTTAAAATAATACCTTATTTTTTGATAAAAATACAATTGCATTCTTCAGCTGAAGGAAAGTATCACCTATTGGTCTGCCTTAATGAAAAGCCTTATGTTGATACTCAAAATATTTTGATATATTATTAGCAAGTCAGTGAAAACCATGTTATGAAATTTTTTCATTTTCTTTCTAACGTACCTTTTTGGGTATTTTGATTTGTGTTGTTTTGTTTTCCTTTTTATTTTCTTTTTTATTAATTTATTTTTTATATTCCAATTCCACTTCACCCTCCCTTCTCTCCTTCCTCTTCCCCCACGCCCCCTCCTCCCATCTGTTCCTCCGAGAGGGTAAGGCCTCCCCTAGGAAGTCTACTAAGTCTGTCCCATCATCTCTTTGAGGAAGGACCAAGGCACCTCTCCACCACCACCACCACCCCCCCACACACACACCCCTGTGTCTAGTCTGGGCAAGGTATTTCTCCATATAGAATGGGCTCCATTAAGTCAGTTTATGCATTAGAATTAGATCTTGGACCCACTGCCAGTGACTTCATATATTGTCCCAGTCACACCGTTGTCACCTGTATTAAGAGAGTCTAGTTCGGTCTTATGCAGGTTCCCCATTTGTCAGACCAAAGTCAGTGATCTCTCATTAGCTGGGGTCAACTAATTCTGTGGGTTTCCCCATTATGGTCTTGACTCCTTTGTTCACATTATGGCTCCTCCCTCACTTCAGTTGTACTTCAGGAACTTGGCCCAATGGTTAGCTGTGGATCTCTGCATCTGCTTTCATCTGTTTCTGGAAGAGGGTTCAAGCTTCTCTGGGGTTGTGGATTGTAGACTGGGTATCTTTTGCTTTATGTCTGATATCCACTTATGAGTGAGTACATGCTATATTTGTCTTTCTGGTTTTGGGTTACCTCACTCAGGATGTTTTTTTCTAGTTCTGTGCATTTGCCTGCGAATTTTAGGATGCCATTGTTTCTTACCACTGAGTAAGTACTCTTTGTTTTCCTTTTTTATTTTATGTGCCTCGGGTGGCTGTCATTCAGTGTTAGGACACTCAAAGCCAATCTGTGAACTTTGTTATTTTTCTTTAATCTGACCACTTGTTTGGAAATTAAAATTACCAAAGATTGTTTTTAAGAATTACAGAAAAACCTGAAGTTACCTTAAAGCACTGGTTCAACTTGTTTGAGCATCAGAACATCATGTCTGTTATGACATTATTAGGCCCCACACTAGCACTTGGCTCTAACTGGGACCTGAGAGTCTGCTCTTTACTGAGTCTTTGGGCTACTGACTGGGGACATGTACGTGAACTTTTCCCTTGAAGAATTAGAAAATAGAATTGATTAGAGATCATCTGGCTCCCTTGGTAATGATATGGAAACTGGGTGTTGATGAGGTGTTGGTAGCCTACTCTTAGCCGAATTGATGAGGACTTGGTAATGTTTAAGTCCAGAGACGTTTTGAGAGAACTTTTATATTTTCCCATCAAATTCATTGCCCAGGATAGATATATATTACATCTAGCAAGTATTTTTGAATAACTTGTAGTATACTCTTAAAATTTCCACAAGTAAAATTCAAGAACTCTTCATTCTTAGTAGCTTGAGCTAACCTTCTCCATCTGGTCCCAGCCCTCCACAGTTGGTCAGTGCCTGGGATCGTCCCTCTCTAAATTGTTTATACATCTGGAATTCTAGTTTCTGTCTGGATGAGAAATGGTGAGATTGTCCAAGTGACTGGAGCAGGGAAGCTGCTGAGAAAATCAAGAGAGTGAAGGTCAACAAAGTGCTCAAAGTTACTTTACCTTAAATGCCAAAAAGGAAGTGTTGAATCTCCAAAGTCCTGTTGTTTGTTAACTGTTCCTTGAATCCTTCCTTCTTTTGGAGGATAGTTGTTTAATATTTCTACTTCAGTTCTTCATTTACTCAAATTGATAACAGTAACACCTCCCACTGTGGGTTCACAGCTATAATAATGAGAAAGGAAGTTTTATTCTTTACAGGCTCCTGTTTGTGGTCACCCTTTTTAGCGTAATCTTTAAAGATTTGGGAAAGGCCAGACTATCTATCATTTTTAAAAATAGACCCTGGATGTGGGGACAAAATAGGGGGAGGCTGGAGATGATTCGGTGAGCACTTGCTGCTCTAAATGAGATTCAGAGTTGGATTCTCAGCGCCCATGCTAGGTGGTTGTGGGGTGCTGATAGCTCCAGCACCAAGAAACCCAGCCTCCTCTCTGGCCTCCCTATGCACCCATACATGGCATACAAATAAACATACACGCAAATAAAAATAAAATCTTTTAAAAATAAAATAGACCCTAATAAAAAGAGGGTCTGTGTTAATTTTTTTTAGCTTTATTCTCAGTGGGCCATGGGACCAATTATTTCTTTATCACAAAAACAATTATTGATTCTGAGGATCTTGCTCAAAATGAAAACTGGGAGGTCCCTTCTTTAAAATTATTTATAATGTCAAGACCTCCAACAATAAAGCTTTAAACTAGATGAGGCATTTCTAAGTCCTGGAGTCCTGTGTGAATGTGTAGCTCATATGCCCGAGTAACTGCCCTGGTTATCTGTAAATCGTTCCTTTTCTATGGCTTCAGACTATCTCCCCGAAGATGATCTTTACTCCATATTATTAAAGATAAAGTAGTGTCACCTCTCCTATTGAGTGACTGAAGTATAACTCCTACTTCTTGTTTAAAAAAAAAAGAAAACTTAGTCACTTAGATGATTGGTTGAGGTTCATGAGCCTAAGCTTCCTTCATAAATTAACTCATGTTTCTGACATAATGTTCTGATCTGTGGGACTTTCCCCACACACACCATTTTTAAGATCTAAAGTGTCTATAAACAATGAGCATATGTGGCCCTAAGATACCTGCCTAATATCATAACCCACCCTTCTATGTTTAGTGAGTATGGATTACACTATTCAATTCTGAGACCTTTTTTACATTAACACTGTTGTAAGATATATCGTTCAGTTAATATTATTTAGAATCACTTTTTCAGGACTAGAGAGATGGCTCAGGGATTAATAGCACTTGCTAACCTTGCAGAGGACCCAGGTTCAGTCTCCAGCACAACTGTCTGTAACTAATGGAAGAGGCTCTGCACACACGGGGTACACTATGTCATGCAAGCAGAACACTCCCACATGTAAAATAAAGTGAAAAATAGAAGCACTTTTTTCTTTCAAATAGCACATAAAAATAATGGTTTTCTTTTTATTTTTGTATGGTGGCATTTTAGATTTGATGAAATGTGATAGATTCTTGTGCTGGATAGTTTTATGTCAGCTTGATACAAGCTAAAATTATATGAGAGGAGGGAATCTCAATTAAGAAAATGCCTTCATAAGATCAGGCTGTAGGCAAACTTGTAGGACAGTGGTTCTCAACCTTACTAATGCTGTGACCCTTTAATACAGTTCCTCACATTATGGTGACCCCAACCATAAAACTATTTTTATTGCTACTTCATAACTATAATTTTGCTACTGTTATGAATCATAATGTAAATATCTGAGTTTTCCAATGTTCTTAGGTGAACCCTGTGAAAGGGCACATCTACCTCAAAGGGGTTGTGACCTACAAGTTGAGAACCACTGCTATAGGGCATTTTCTTAATTAGTGATTGATGAGGGAGGACCCAGCCCATGGTTGGTGCCATCCCTGGGCTGGTGGGTCTGGGTTCTATAAGAAAGCAGACACAGCAAGCCAGTGAGCAGCACCCCTCCATGACTTCTGTACCAGCTCCTGCCTCCAGGTTCCTGCCCTGTTAGAGTTCCTGTCCTGACTTCCTTCCATGATGAGCCATGCTGTGCAAGTTTAAGTCAAATAAACCCTCTCTTTTTTGGTCGTGGTGTTTCATCACAGCAATAGAAACCCTAAGACAAGTTGGTACCTGGATTGTGGGTTATTGCTCCTATGACAGGTCTGACCATGTTTTGAGGGGGAGGATTATAGAAGGACTTTGGAACTTTATACAGGAAAAGCCATTGAATGCAATGCTTGGTGAGCTGTTCTGTAGGAGCTTGGAAGATAAGAACATTGAGGGCAATGCAGAAGATAGAGACCTGGCATGTGAAGTTTCAGAGGGAAGTTTAAAGACTATCTGGGCCATTTGTTATTTTGAATTAAGATTCTGTGGTTCTGGTTAGCTGAGGCTGAAGAATCAGCTGAACGGCTAAAGTGAAACATTTTCTTTGCTTGTACACTTGATGATGGTCAGCCGTAGCTGAGAAGTTAGTGGTGATTAAGAAGTTAAGTGATACACAGAAAAACCCTGTCTCGAAAAACCAAGAAGAAAACAAAAAGAAGAAGAAGAAGAAGAAGAAGAAGAAGAAGAAGAAGAAGAAGAAGAAGAAGAAGAAGAAGAAGAAGAAGAAGAAGAAGAAGAGAGGTGAAATCTTCTTGGAAGTGTTTACTGAGAGTCAGCAAATAGCATCTGTGCTCCAGAGGTAACCAAAGTTGTACCTCGAACTGGCAGCCAAACTTGGTCACCCAGCAATGCTTGTCATGGTTGCTAGCTTTATGACTATCTTCACCTGTCTCAATGTTTTCTTTTTAACTATACAGATGCAGAAAAATATTCTGGAAGTTTTGCTCAGTCAGATGTAGCAGTGGCCATTAACAAATTGGTTACTCCTAAAAGATAAGATCCCACTATCATGTCTCGGGCCCAGTTACAATTACAGCTGTATTTCAGTTTTGGTGGAGGAACAAATACTAGCCTTTACAGTCAAGTGGGTCTGTATCACATGGAAAAAAGAGCAGGATTCTGTAGTGTCAGTAGACCTGGATTTGAACCTTGGCTCTACCATGTAGGGGGGGGCCTCCCCCCATCAATCACTAATTAGCCTGTGCTAACTCCTGCTACTGCTCAGGAGTCCTACCTAGCACTGTTGCTGTTCCTGTTACCAGGCTGTGCTCACTACTGTGAGCCGAAGGCCTCCAAACCTAATCCAGTACTGCCGTAAACCACCCGACCTTCTGCCCAAAATGGAGCAACTTAAAAGAACACTTGTGTGCTAGAGAAGAATAAAAAATAAAAGATCATAAAGATATGTCCTTTTGCCTTTCCCTTTAACGTTATAAATCTTAGGACCATTAACTAGCTTTGAACTGAATTCCTGTAAATGAATGTAGATGTTCATATAAATTCTCATTATTGTATTTTTTCAGAGTTTTAATCATTTTTCTTGAGAATTAATTAAAAGGCAGTGGGGACTGACCTTGTACAAAGTGCACAGATGCGGTTCTGAAGAAAATGTCTTTGGCAGATAATGTTTTTCTTTGGATGTTCTGTTTATTGCTTCCATAAATATTCTATTGTCAAAACATGACTTACTGTTTGTTAGCAGTGCTGACAGGAAGGTTTCTCTTAATGGCAGCATTCATATTACCCATATACCCTGTCACTTTTAACTTAGCAATTTTAAGAGAATTGCCTTTGGTAATTACTTAAGATATTTCTAAGTTTATTGATCCCCACCCTTGTTTAACTGAGTGAAGTTTGAGTGGCAGTTCATCTACTCAGAGATTGATGATTTTGAAAAGTCATCAAATCCGAATCTTTAAATCTAAGGAAAAGCTTACAGCTTACCAGTGCTGATCTTGTCCTTTGGTTGCCAGAAAATGCAGTGCACTGAGGAGAGTGTGTGACTGCCAGTCCTGTTCTGGGGATACACTTGCATAACATACCACTCTAGTGGTCACCTGGAAGTTGAACAAACTTAAATCTAAGTCACAACAGCTTGTCATTGGGTAAGTCAATTTTGTTTAATGAGTTTGGTAACTGAACAACTGGAAGTGATACAGTTCTGCCATTTAGAGTTGTGAGAATTGGCCTTGTAGCTTGTGTCCGTTTGTTTGTAAGTTGTCTTCATCTTCGTGTCTTTTCCCTGGTTTATAGTCAGTAAAGATGTGTGCATCACCTGATCCTCAGAACAACCTGTACAGTCCCTTGAACATAGACTCCATTCTCATTTGCTGGAGAGTCAGGCTGAGTGTATTACTTAGGCTCGTCCAGGTGACTGAACAGTGTAGTCAAGCTTCAAGCCCACATTTCCTGACATTTATCCCAGTGTGCTTTCCATTCCATGTCTAAAATGATAATTGAATTTTTCAGTGTCATTATATGTAGGAAATTTACAAATACTATGGAAGAAAGGAGTTGATGTTTCCATTATGACATGAATGGAAACAAGACTGCTGTAGCCTTCAAGACAGGAGGAGGTATATGGAAGAGCCAAGATGTGCTCTGGCAGAAAGTTCATGAATATGGTGAAGGAAGAGAAGAGGCGGTGCATCCTGGGTACCCATCCCTAAAACCCAAAGTAGACTAGAAGTTATCTATGCTTTATATTCATGTGTATGGTCTCGGTTTTATTCTAATTCAGAGTTTGCCTGTTCAGATGATAATGTGGTACAGGAAGCACACAGTCCTTTGAATTAGATGTCAGCAAAGTCAACCATTTCTGTGCATCTTAGATGGACAACTTAATTTCTTTAAGCTTCTGTTTTCATATCTGCAGACTAGAAATAACAACACTGTAATTGTGAAGACTGGATAAAATAACATGAAAGAAAAAGTGCCTTCCACTTAAACACTTGAGAAATATTAGCTACATTAAGCTGTCTTTCAACACTTAATGATGAGAATTTTGCTATCTCTTTCTAACTAGATTTTTTGGTTTTAAACTTCTGAGTTCATTGTTTCTTAAAATTGAATAATTTTCTTTCTTGATAGCCTATTATGGGTCTTTATAATAATTTTATTAAGAAGAACTATTAAGAAAAAGAAATTCTCCAGCTATACCAAAATGTAAAAAGGGTCAGTTTCAATTTTCTCCTATCAAGGCTTTAATAGTGAGGGGTTCTTGTCTTAATTATAGGATTCATTCTTTCTTTCCATAACTAGAATATGTATAAGATAGAAAAGTAATTGCCCTAGTTAATAATGGATTACCATTCTTAGCAAAATGAAAGACATTTCTATAGAAGCAATCCTGGAAATATTTATTCTTCTTACATACTAAAATGTCATTTTAGTTATGTTTTGTGATTATTATGTATATTTCTCTAGATTCCTTAACATTATTACCTATATCCTTTTAAAAAAACTGGTGAAAATAGATGCTGTGAAATTCATGCTAAAAAACCACACGGTACGTCTCAATTCTTTAATGACTAAATTTTCTGGATAGTTAGGTGAAAAATTGATAACTTTCCATGCTCTTTTGCTTCATTAGAGTGAACACTTCCCATTTCTTGGCATCAGTGATACTTACAGTCTCAATGACTTCAGGTGCCGAACAACCTTCTACACAGCCCTCACTCGCCTTCTGAAAGTAGATCTAGGTAAGTTGATGAAGTTTAACTAATAGGAGATCAACACTGATGTGAAAGAAGGAGTGGATTAGTAAGTGTAGCATTTTACTTATTAGAAGTTTCTATCTTTGACCATTTTTGTGACTTGCTAAGCTTTGCAGCCAAAAGACAAATCTTTGTACTATTTGTCCTACCTGATTCTAACCTCAGAATTTCCTTTCTTTGTATCTTTTGACCCATTAATTTTACACTCACTAATACAAAAACTGGGCCTGGTAGTTCATGTGATACAGGAGAATAACAAGTCCAAGGCCTGCCTGGACCACAGAGTGAGTTCAAGGTCAATAGTTAGGCAGACCCCTGACTCATCTCAAAATTTTCTTGAAAGTCAAGGACACAGCTCAACAGTAGAACACCTAACATCTACAAGGCCTGAGTTTCAATCCACACTACTGTGAAGTCAAGGAAAGGAAGTCTAAGAAACAGTCTTAGGAACACCTGTAAATGTTTGCCCTTGTTTTCATATATTTCTTGCATTTTGTTTTATTTTTCACATTTTAAATTTTATTTATTATAAGTGTGTATGTGTATGTGCGTGTGCACCACAACACACAGTTGGGGTTGGGGGACAACTATCATGAGTTGTGCTATTCTTCTACCACTCAAGTGGGTTGCAGTGATCAAACTCAGGTAATCAGGCTTAACTGATCACATTATCCACTGAGCCATCTTGCCAGCCCAACAAGAATTCTCTTTCCCTTTGTTGTTCTCAGACAATCTAATGTAGTGGTGCAGGTAGGCCACAAGCTGAACTCGAGAATGAGCTTAAAATTCTGAACCTTCCAGCTTTGACTTCTGGAGTGATTGGGATGACTTTACAGGCCAGTGTGCCTCTACTCTGTGTTAGGCAGTGCTGAGGACCAAACCCATGATGTCTGGTATGCTAGGCCAGCACTCTACCCTGACCTATATCCATAGCACTCTAATATTGTCTAAGTCTGCAGGGGCAGAGGTTGTTCTTTGGTTTTTGTTTTATTTTTGTTTTAGAAGGTCTTGGGAAGCCAAAGGTGGTTTTAAATTGCTATGTAGCTGAGAACGACCTTATACTTAGGTTCTCTTCCCCAAACCCCAAGAGGTGAGATTATGAGTGAGTGTATGCAATCATGTCTAGTTTTTACAGTGCTAGGAATCAAATCCAGGCCTTTGTGTGTGCTGAGGAAATGCTGTACTTGAACTACTTTTCTACCCTGTGTTGTGGATGATGTTTGTGTGTAGTAGCAGTTAAGCTCAAGAAAAAAAAATGGAAGTTATGTGAATGTCCAATAACAATTGAAATTATGGTGTATCAACTTATTCATAAAATGGTCTGTGATCACAAAAATGGATGGTCTATGACAATACAGTACATGAAGCTTAATGTTCTTGAGTGAAAAGATAAGGTATTACTGAGATAATAATAGTTGTGTATAGTGGAGAAAAGTACATCAAAAGGAACTAAATAAAATGTGCAGGTTTGTATGCTAAATAATTACTATAACCTTTGTGGAAAACTATATGGAAATGCCTTAAATAATTAAAAGTAAAGCCACAGCAGGCTTTGGAAATCCTCCTAGTGGGATATACACCCAGAGGGAGTGAAGTCAGCATGCAGAAGAGACACCTGCACCAACATGTTCATTACAGCAGCAGTCACAGTAGCCAAGAGATAGAAACAACCTAGATATGCGCTGGTACTTGAATGAACAAAGAAAATATCACACACACAATAGAATAATCTTTAGCCATACAAATAAGAAAATGAATCAATTTACATCTGTATGGATGAACCTGAAGATATTGTGTTAAGTGAAATAAGCCAGGCACAGACAGACAACTACTATGTGATCTCACTCATATGTAGACTCTAAAAAAAGGTGATCTTGTAAAGTTGGAGAATGGTAGTTACCAAAGACTATCAAAGTTGGAGGCAGTGTGAAATGATGTCCTGGCTTTGATGTACCCTTTCAACTAGTGATGGGAATAAAATTCAAGAGATGTGCGTGTGTAAGTGCCATGCTTTCCCCTATTATTCACTGGTGACACTTGGGTTGGTTCTGTTTCTTGGCTGTTCTGAATAGTGCTACAGTGAACATGGTAGTGCAGGTGTCTCCTTTTCCTTTGGATGTGTACCCAATAGTGGAATTGTTGGATCCTGTTAGTTCTTTTTTTAAGTTTTTGAGTGATCTCCATATTGATTGGTTTTCATAATGGCTGTACTTACTTTCTTACTAATAGTGGGAAAGGGTTCCCATTTGCCCACATTGTCTTCAGCATTCATTATTTGTCATCTTTTTTGATAGCCATTCTTAAAATAATGAAACAATGTATCATTGCATTTTTTAGTTTGAGGAGATCCCATTTGGTTCCTGGGCTTTTAGTGTTAGAATCTTGGGGGGGGGGTGTTTTTGTTTGTTTGTTTTTAAATCCTTATCTGGTTTTACTTTTTTTTTAATTGAAAAGCTGTATTTAATAAGACATGTCTACAAATACCTAGAATGTTGAAATGGACACTTTTCTGTATAGCTATGTTAGTCTAGATTCCTATATTTTCTCATATTGAAACACTTCAGGATAGATCAGTTAGCTGTAGACACTAAAGATTTTGGCCAGTGACACTGTTATCCTTAGAGAATATAATACTGATAATATTTTTGCAATATTTTTGGTACATCAACATAAATAGAATTTTTAAGACACAATAAGAGGGAAGTTTTATTTTGCACATAAATTACATTGAACGTTGAAATAGTTCAAATGGAAAAGCAGCTAACCCTCTCCATGTTCATAGCCATATCACTTTCATACATTTCAACAGACTAAGTCATCAAAAAGACAAAAAGCTAAAAGTTGAGAAAATGCAGCTAGAATGATTAAGGAGCTGAGTGGAATTGATTTCTAAGGAAAGATTAAAAGAACCATGTATGTATAACTTGGCTAAGTGACAACCAGAGCTGGAGGCAAAGAAAACGGTCTATAAATATTTGAAGAGTATAAACCATGCATGCAAAACCCAATCTAGTGTGAGTTCCAAATAACAACTTTCTATACTGAGCACTGGCCTGTTTACCTCTTTCCTGCTGCTGCAGAGAGAAGATAAGTAGCCCTAAACCTTTCACTATTCTGGGCAATCATTTAGCAAGCACACTGCTGAAATAAGGGCAAGACACATGCCAGGCTGAATGGGTACTGCTTGGCCTCAAGGAACTTGCATTCTTGTTTTCCATATGTCCAAGCATTAAAATGCTTAAAACAGTGTCTACACTTCATTCTTTTAATGACCTTGCTACATAGTGAGAGAAGTGATGAGACCACTGTTAAAGAGTAATGTATGTAGATTTCCTGGAAATTGGCTTAGTCACCTATACCTTCAGATTTTGATAATGAAAATGGGTCAAAATTTTTATTTTCAAAGAGTCATCACACACAATTCACCCTCATCTATTTGGTTGTAAACAGCCAAAGAGCATATCAGAGCCTGAATACAGTGTAGACAGTATCCCATAACCCTTCCATACTTGGCTAGTATATTGATAATTAATATTCATGTTGATGCCAGAAGGACTGTGCATTGTATGCTTGTTTTGTTTTGTTTTGTTTTGAGACAGGGTTTCTCTGTGTAACAGCCCTGGCTGCCTAGAACTCCTTTGTAGACCAGGCTGGGCCTGGAACTCAGAAAGATCCTCCTGCTCTGCCCCCTGAGTGTTGGGATTAAGGTTGTGTGCCACCATGTCCAGCTTGCATTGCACACTTTTGAAGGCATATTTACTTTTACTTAATATTACTTAATGTAAACTGTGGGGATAAGAAACATGTAAACATTTATAATTTAAATAAGAGAATTTCATTTTTTTCCAAATTAAATTGCTTTTAAATATCTAGCCCATATAACAGTATAAACTGTGGATTTATATTTTTCAATTCAAAGTTTAGGGGAAAAACATAATTGTTATATTCTAATGCTTTTTGTGTACCTTTAGTGAAACAAAAAGAGGATATAGTAGAAGTGTACCTAGTACATAGTAGGTACTCAGTATAAATCAGTTGTATCTGAGTTATATTTTAAATTTAAAACTATAACAACTGTCTTCATGGAACTTTACACTTCTTGGGGAAAAAATGTCCCTCCCCTACTTAGCAGTGGTTTTGTAAAATCATTGAACATGTAAGCATCAAGTAATGATTTGTGGTATAACTAGGGTTTCTTTGCCTTGTTAAAGACCAGAGTTGTTCTTTCCAGAACAACTGGAATGCTTGAAATGCTTCAGAGTACTGACTTGGTCTTTTTCATATTTTTTAAGCACCAAGCTCACTATCGTTACTTAATTAGGTATTTGTTTAATGACAAATAGCTGTGCAGCAACGAGGATACCATTATTGTGGCTTCTGGAATCAGCCCTGCCTGTTAGGGGCTCCCTGGAAATATCTTTGAGTCTTCTGCCTCTCCAGAACAAAATGTATCAAGTGGCTGATTGCTTCCACAACTGACTAGTCACATGCAGCCATTCTTGCTCTCTTTTCACAGTTTTACTGCTTCATTTTTTTTGTTGAATGTTGTTGAACATAGCTTTGATTATTTGAGGCCTTATCTCACAACCTAGATTAAGGGTGCCATTGCTGTCAAAATTTCATATGTATGGCTTGATAGTTTTCTATTTGTGTTCACTGCCATGGAAACAGGGAAGAAAAAGTACAATAATGAAGAGTAGCATAGATCATGTGTTAAATGAAAGAAACAAAAATAATGAGGATGAGAACCATCCTCAAATTAAAAGAATAATAATAATAATGGTAATTTTTAACTGATTTGGGGAGATAAGCATCAAGTAGGGGGAAAAAATGCCTAATCAACCTGCTTGCAGAAAAACTGGACGTGATTCTTGGCTTGAAATACAAAACATTCTAATTGAATCCTACAAAATGAATTGAATAGTTTTATATAAGCCATGCACATTGGAGTAATTAGAAAAGGGGAGAGAAATTGGGTGTCACAT